TGAAGCTCCTGGCTTTAGCCTGGTTCAGCTCCAGCCACTGCAGCTATTTGGGGAGTGAACCAATGGATGTAAGACCTTTCTCTGTAACTCTACCACTCTTGAATAAAAATCTTAAAAAAAAAAAAAAAAATTGTTCTAGTCCAGGTCGCTCCTCTTCCAGTCCAGCTCTCTGCTGTGGCCCAGGAAGGGAGTGTAGGATGGCCAAAGTGCTTGGGCCCCTGCACCCGCGTGGGAGACCAGGAGAAAGCACCTGGATCCTGGCTTCAGATCAGCCAAAGCGGCCATTTAGGGGGTGAACCAATGGAAGGAAGACCTTTCTGTCTCTCTCTATCAAAGACAAAAACAAAAACAAAAAAATTCAAGAAATTGAGGCTCAGAACTTGCCAAACTTGCCAACTACACAGACAACTGCCAAAACAAGAATTTCATCATTTTTCCTTATCAGATCACACAAGACAATTTACAGGAAAATGGTCTGAAAAAATTAACAGTGATTATTTTCTTTCAAGTAGGAATTACTTTTATCCTCCTTAAAATTCAAGGGCTTTTTTTTTCCAAGTTTAAATAGATTTTTCAAAATCTAAAAGAGTATGAAACCTTTGGCATGGGAACAGGTACTAGGTGTTGATAAAGAAGCCTCTCTGATATAAAGAAGTATATAAATTGGAAATTTAATATTTTCTCTGAGTAACAAATCTCCACCCTTTAGCAAAACATATTAAAATGTCTGCACAACTAATATTTGAAACATTTTCAGGAGCATATCTTCAAAACATGGCAGAAAATATTTCCATTAATGTTCCATTTTATTAAGCAAATTTCCAATTATTTACCATCACAAGTAGTAGAGTCAATAACAAGAACTCAGTAACTCTTGACCTTGGCATTTCTGATTGAAAGCTTTAAATTAAAGTCTTCTTTAAAAGCTGTTGTTACAAATTTGCTTAACAAGTTTGAACATCATTTTTTATTCTCCAGTCAGTAAACATAAAAACATATACAATTTCTTTTAACACTATACAAAATTTCACTTACATCTGATTCTTTGCTGCTTGCCTCTGAGCTTTTCTTTCTTTCCTTTTCTGATCTGGTGGCTTAGCAAAAACAATTTCAATGTTTTCTCCCTCCAAGTCTTTGCCATTCATTTCTTCCATAGCCTTAAATAATTACACAATGATCAATACAAAAGCAGCCTTTCAGAATGATGACTCATTTAAAGTAAAAAAAAAAAAATTTTAATTATCATTACTTTTGGAAAGATAGGAAGTCTCACCCTGTCAAATACACAGAACTTAAGATTTCAAAGATCCAATTCTCCAACTTTTGTAAATTGAGACTAAACCAAGGTCAACAAAGGCTTGAATAGATTCCACAATCTAAGTTTCATCCAATTTTTAAAACATTCTCATTCTAGGATAACTAAAAGTTATTGGTCTAGTTTAATTGCCTATAATTTCCACCACTTACTTACCTTAACAGCACCATCTCGTTCATCAAAATGAATGAATGCATAATCTTTTAGTTTCTTTACTCGTTCCAGTTTTCCAAACTGACTAAATGCCTTTTCTAAAATCTCTTCTGTTACAGTATTGGCAAGGTTACGTACAAAAAGTACCTTCACCTGAAATTAAAAAAAAAAAAAATTTCTCAGCATATTTCCAACAAATTCAATTTACAAGACACTAACACCTCACCTTTCAAAGTTAACTTGCATCACAACCCATTAGACTACCACATATATAAAAGTAAGTTTCCAACTCCTTTGGGTAAATACCAAAAAGAGACTGTTGTCAGGTCAACAAATCTAAAACAGATGCCTTACCAAAGATACATAAATAAAAAAGCATAAGATGTTCATCATTCACTATTAGAAGATGGCAAATTAAAACAAAAGTGAGGTAACCACCCACTGGAACGGTCAAAATCCAAACACCAACAATAAACATGGAGCAATAGGAAATCTGTCAGTAGAGACGCAAAAAGGTACAACTACTTCAGAAGAGAATTTAACAGCTTCTTAGGAAACTAGGCATATTCTTTCTAGTTAATACAGCACTCCTTTTGTATTTATCCAAAGGAGCTAAAAACTTACATTCACACAAAAACCAGAAAACAGATGTATATACCAGCTTTATTCATAATTGCCAAAAATTAAAATCAAGATACCCTTCAATAGATAAATGGATAAACTGATGCATAAAGAATGAATTATTCACCACTACCAAGGAGTGAGCTATAAAGCCACAAAAAGAGAAACCTTAAATGTGTTACTGTGAAAAAAGCAAATCTGGAAAAAAAAAAAAAAAAAAGGCAGCTATATACTGTATAATGTCCTAAAAAGATTAAACTCCAGAAATGTCAGTGACTGCTGGGGGTTGAGATGAACAGGCAAAGAACAAAGGATTTTCAGGGCAGTGAAACTGGTCTGTTATGACACTATAATTTTGGATACATGCCAGTATACACTTGTCAAAACCAATAGTGAAACTTACTGTAAAATATGGAAATTAAGTGACAGATTCATCAATTTTAACAAAAATATCAATGCAGTGTGGGCTGTTAGTGGGGTGACTACATGTGTAAAGGTAGGAAGTATTTGACTACTTTTCTATTTACTGCCCAATTCTGCTGTAAATGTAAAACTTCTCTAATAAACAATTTAGAAGGAAAACTAAAGATAGACTGTATATTCAGTAGTTTTTAATAAATAAATAATATTTATTTATTAATAAATAAATAAAAAATCTACAAGGGATAGTTAAATTCCTGACACCCTGGAAGAGTTGTTGAATGTTTAACACTCAACATAGGCGGTCAAAACTAATTAGGGGCCGGCGCTCTAGCTCACTAGACTAATCCTCCGCCTTGCGGCGCCGGCACACCGGGTTCTAGTCCCGGTCAGGGCGCAGGATTCTGTCCCGGTTGCCCCTCTTCCAGGACAGCTCTCTGCTGTGGCCAGGGAGTGCAGTGGAGGATGGTCCAAGTACTTGGGCCCTATACCCCATGGGAGACCAGGATAAGTACCTGGCTCCTGCCATCGGATCAGCGCGGCAAAGGAAGACCTTTCTCTCTGTCTCTCTCTCTCACTGTCCACTCTGCCTTTCAAAAAAAAAAAAAAGAAAAAGAAAAAAGAAAAAAAAAACTAATTAGGACCAGTTCTTGAAATTTTTTGTTGTTGTTGCTTTTTTGGTAAACCCATGATCTTTATTTTTTTTATTTTTAATTTTTTGACAGGCACAGTGAGAGAGAGAGACAGAGAGAAAGGTCTTCCTTTTTCCGTTGGTTCACCCTCCAATGGCTGCCGCAGCCGGGACTAGAACGCGGTGTGCCGGCGCCGCAAGGTGGAGGATTAGCCTAGTGAGCCGCGGCGCCAGCTACCCATGATCTTTAATTCTTGCCCTATGCCACAGAAAATCTAGAAATCTTTGCGCACATTCTCTAGAACAGCTGTCTCAGGGGAATGTTTTTCTTTTTTTTTTTTTTTTCTTTAACTTTTATTTAATGAATATAGATTTCCAAAGTACAGCTTATGGACTACATTGGCTTCCCCCCACCCCCCCGATGTCTTACCTGCCACCCGCAACCCTCCCCTTTCCCGCTCTCTCTCCCCTTCCATTCATATCAAGATTCATTTTCAATTTTCTATATATACAGAAGATCAGTTTAGTATACATTAAGTAATGATTTCAACAGTTTGCACCAACATAGAAACACAAAGCGAAAAATACTGTTTGAGTACTCGTTATAGCATTAAATCTCAATGTACAGCACATTAAGGACAGAGATCCTACATGAGGAGTAAGTGCACAGTGACTTCTGTTGTTGACTTTACAAACTGACACTCCTGTTTATGGCATCAGTAATCTCCCTATGCACCAGTCATGAGTTTCCAAGGCTATGGAAGCCCCTTGAGTTCTCCGACTCTTATCTTGTTTAGACAAGGTCATAGTCAAAGTGGAAGTTCTCTCCTCCCTTCAGAGAAAGGTACCTCCTTTGAAGACCTATTCTTTCCACTGGGATCTCACTCAGAGATCTTTCATTTAGGTCCTTTTTTTTTTTTTTCCCTCCCAGAGTGTCTTGGCTTTCCATGCCTGAAATACTCATGGGCTGGATCGAATGCCTTTAGGGCTGATTCTGAGGCCAGAGTGCTGTTTAGGACATCTGCCATTCTATGAGTCTGCTGTGTATCTCGCTTCCCATGTTGGATCACTCTCCCCTTTATTTATTCTATCGGTTAGTATTAGCAGGCACTAGACTTGTTTATGTGATCCCTTTAACTCTTAGTCCTTTCATTATGATCAATTGTGAACAGAAATTCATCACTTGGACTAGTGAGATGGCATTGGTACATGCCACCTTGATGGGATTGAATTGGAATCCCCTGGTATGTTTCTAACTCTACCATTTGGACCAGTTCTTGAAATCTTAAAGAGGAAAGGAAGCCATCAAAATTAAGATAAATTCTTCTCTCAATCCTGAAAGTTTCTCTAAGTACAATTCAGAAACTTAACTTTTTAGCTAAGAAGTATTAGTTTGTCCTAAATCTGAATTTACTAATCTAAAATGCAAACCCAACAATAGTTTTTATAGGTCAGAGCAAAAGAGGATCCTAAATATCTTCTGTCCTCTAAGATCACTTTAATCCTTTAATAACATTCGGCATTCCTCACAGTTCACATTCTTTAACTTTGACTTAGTTATAAAAGGGGGCTTTAAAAGCTCATGAGAAAAAAATGGAATTAAATGATTTAGATCTTTTTGAAGCTCCCTCACAGTGGACAGTCTGTAACTTTTAAAGGAGTACTCCTGAAAGACAAAGGGTGGAGAACTTAACTGCAAACTGCAAGAGCATGTAGTCAAGTGTTGACTCAAGAGATGTTTATTCTCATAGGCTAGCTCACTGACTGCTGAAGCAGGATGCCTAATAATAGCTAAACGTAACTGCAGGAGCTCTGCTGGGCTGGTACAGTTCACTATTTTTAGGAGCAAGACTTTTAACACAAAAACCATATAAGTTAACGGCACTATTCTCAAAAACTCAAAAGACATTGCTCTTAGAACTTACATAAAAATCCAAGGGAACCATCCCTACAAAATGTAGGCTAACTACTTCATTAAAGAATGATGACTACACAATTATGGCCAAGGGTCCTTGAGTAACTATCTACACTCACTTTTCAGGAATATGGTATTTCTATAGTGTGGCCTCTCTCACCTCAAAAACTGTGCACAATTCATTCTAAGTTCTTTTGGGCCCTTTCAACCATCTCCCATCAATTCCTCAAACCAAATATCTTAACTTTCATTACCTTTGCCATAACCTCAGGATCAGGATCTTCTATAGGATCAGCCCATTCAACAGTTCCAACATTTCCCCAGACCTTGACTTTACCACTCATTAGCCTACGCCTTGCCTGGGCAGCTGTTTTGTGATCTTCATATTCAAGAAAGCAAAAGCCTCTGTTTTTTTTCTTGTCATCTGGTTGGTGGTATAAAATGACGTCTGTAAGACCCTCTGAAAATAAGCAACCATTTCAGAGCTTTAGCATAAAATAATTAACAAGCACAAGTAATCAAAGGATTTGTTATTCTAAGATACTACTTAAAAGTCAAAGTGAAAAAGAATCTTTTTATTAGCCATCTTTAACAAAGGACTGTCAAAATCAAGTCCAGATAATTTTTCTAACCCACCCTTTCCAAGTTCACCCAACATAGAAACAAAACGCCCAACAAAGTAAATGTATTCCCTTAACTAGATCTAAGGATATTTTTGTTTCTGCTAACTAAATCACAGTAAGGTAGATAAAAGTCTTTACATAATCTTTTAAGAAAACATCAATATAGGGGGCCTAGCATTGTGGCACTGCTTTCAATGTTGGCCTCCCACACTGGAGTGCTGATTCCAGACCTGACCGCTGCACTTACAACTGAGAAAGCTTGGGCCCCTGCCACCCACATGGGAGACGTGCATAAAGTTTCAGGCTCCTGGCATCAGGCTGGCCCAGCCCCAGCCACTGAAGCCATTTAGGGGAGTGAACCTGCAGATGGAAGCTCTCTGTATCTCTTCCTCTTTGTCACTCTGCCTTTCAGATAAATAAATCTTAAAAACCTCTGCTGAAAAAAAGTGAGGGGGGGTGGCACTGTGTGACAGCAGATTAAGCCACAGCCTACAATGCTGGCAGTTTGAGTCCTGACTCCTCCACCTCTGATCCAGCTCCCTGCTAATGTGCCAGGGAAAAACAGTGGAAGATGGCTAGAGGACTTGGGCCCCTGCATCCATGTGGGAGACCTGGAAGGAGTTCCAGGCTTCTGGCTTCAGCCTGGCCTACCTCTGGCCATTGCAGCCATTTGTGAAGTAAATCAGCAAATGGAAGATTAACTCTTCCTCCCTTTAACTCTGCCTTTCAAATAAATATATAGATCTTTATTAAAAAAAAAAAAAAAGTCAATGTAGGTCAAATACAGTTTTTCTTACTATGCAAGTAAACACGAATTTTTAATGCATTTTTCTGGTCTCATGTATTAATAATTTTATTTCTAAAGTAGTACCATCTAACAATATCTTTTTATCTTTTTAAGATTTATTTATTTATTTGAAAGTCACTGTTACACAGAGAGAAGGAAAAGGCAGAGAGAGAGGTCTTCCTTCCACTGGTTCACTCCCCAGATGGCCACAATGGCCAGAGCTGCACAGATCTGATCCGAAGCCAGAAGCTTCTTTTGGGTCCCCCACGTGGGTGCAAGGGCCCAAGGACTTGGGCCATCTTCCACTGTTTTCCCAGGCCACAGCAGAGAGCTGGATTAGAAGTGGAGCAGCTGGGACTTGAACCAACACCCATATGGGATTCAGCACTGCAGGTATTGTCTTTACTCACTATACCACAGTGCCGGCCCCAATCTAACAATTTCAAATGTTCCTGAAGACTGTAGCAAGCTGGTATTTTGCTAAATACTGTAAGCAGATAAAATTATTTTCTAATAAAAGCAGCTTATAACTTAGAAACTTACAAAAAATGACTTAAAGTTCAAATATATTAGAACATGTTGGCAATGTATAATCCATTTATAGCTAGAATACTCCCCACTCCCATAACTTGGGGAAAAAAATGGAAACAGAACAATGATTTTGCAGACTGAATTCATGTCTCTGCTGTATTCCTTACTAACTCATATAACGTTTGGCAACTTATTTCCCAAAATCTATGCCTGTTTTCCTGACCTGAAAAATGGGATTATTGACCTCAAAGTTTTAGCAAAGATTCAATATACCAACAACTGTAGTGTTCAGTACAACGTTTGCGGCACACAGAAATAGGTTATTGTATTCAGTGGTAAAAGCTGCACCTCAAACAAATCTAACTTACCTGTTACTTTGCTAAATTCTTCAAGAATCTGTTCCTTGGTTTTACTCTTAGGAATAGAGCCGACAAAAAGCCTATTGTTGGCAACCGAGATGCAGACACCAATATGTTTTCCAGAACGAATTTCATGATTATTATACTGAAAGCGAGAACAAGATGCAGTATGTTTTTAAATTACTTAAAATATAGATAAGAAATATTTATTACAGGAAGTTCACAAATTTCATTTACAAACATAAAAGTTTAACATATTAAAATTTCAACACTATGTGTTTGAAAAGTATTTTTATCCTTTAAAAAATATTGACCATAATTCCCACATATCCTTTAAAAAATATTGACCATAATTCCCACATAAAAGGGAAACATAATGAGACAGGTATGAAGATTTTACTGACAAAACAACTTTATGAATCTACTGCAAAAATTTATTGCAAAATTCTTGAAAGCTAGGAAACTTACCAGGAATCAGGTTTGTAGCAGCTTATTTAAATTCAAAAACTGCTGATTTCATATTAACATAACATCTACTTAAATTCATTTTGCCATTTAGTTATTCTCATATAAGTGCAACTGATTCCAGGACCAGTAAGCTTTTTCTTTGTTAACCAGCACGTAAATCAAAAGCTGCAATAAGAAATTTTGCCCTTCAAACAAACCTTAACAAAGAACTCCTAAATTAATTTATCAATCAAAAACCTGAGTAGATTACATGCCACGTTGTTAATGGTAGTTATCATAGGGACATTCAATTTCTGTGAGATGCACTTTAGATTAAAAACTTCGATTTACAAAAGCAAAAATTTAAAGAGCTCCTTTTTATTCTGAATCTACTTTTTCTCACTTCATTTTCATCAAGCAAACAGAAAAGTTAAAGAAAATAAATTATGATAAAGATACAGAATCAGCTCTAATATTATAGTGAAAAGACAACTTAATTTTCCAGTAACCATTTCCCACAGAATGTTGAGATACAGACAAAGTGACAACCAGAATTATTTACAAACCAAAGATCAAAGGCATCCAAGTTATCTGGAAAAGTAGATCAGATAGTCTACATAATTAAACCACCCCGGGGCTGGTTATTTTTACCCCAATAACTCAGTTTAGGCTACCCAATGGGTTAATGCCCTGGTCTGAAGCACCGGCATCCCATATGGGCGCCAGTTTGAGACCCGGCTGCTCCACTTCCAATCCAGCTCTCTGCTATGGCCTGGGAAAGCAGTAGAGGATGGCCCAAGTCTTTGGGTCCCTGAACCCGCATAGGAGACCAGAAGAAGCTCCTGGCTTCGAATCAGCGCAGCTCCTGCCGCTGCAGCCAACTATGGAATGAACCATCGGGTAGAAGACCTCTCTCTGACTCTCCTCTCTTTGTGTAACACTGACTTTTAAACCACCTCAAAGTTTTATAATAGTAATAATGGTGGTTAACAGTAGCAATAACTTATCAATCCCCCTATAGTTGACCTTGAAAGCTATTTTATAAATAAATACAATCTAAAGGACAAACATGAATTCTCATACAACTTATACAACAATCTTAGGGCAAAAGCAAAACCTTTCCCCTATTATTCCCATTCTTGCACAATAGGTACATCAGGTATAACAGAAAAAAAAATTAACAATTCAGAAAGTTGATTCCTCCTTGTCCCTTTTTCCATCTCCAGATAATCAGAACTAAAGTGCAGGTACTGTTCTCCAGTTTAGAAGAGTTTCATACTTTTTTACCCCTATAACTCAGTTTAGGCTACCCAAGTCTGAAAGTCATCCTGATCCCAGGTTTATCTCTATTTCTCTACATTTATACCAACAACAATCATCTCAATTTAAAAAAAAAATTATGATGTCTGCCTATTGAAAAAAAATAGGTCCTCGCTACAAAGAGATAAAGTTCAAATACTGAATGTCAAGCCCATTCTTTAAAAAAAAAAAAATTTTTCCTGCTACTTCCTCTTTGTTTCCACAAGGCATACTTACTCTATAACTGTTCAAACACGCAGTTTTCAAACTCCTAAGCTTCAGAGGGAAAATGACTTCCCTAAAACTTCCATCATCCAAACTCTTCTGCACACCTGCAAATTAAGCTAAACTTCAAATACTGGGCAATCTCTAAATCCTGTAAGGGTCAACAAAACACCCCTTTATATTAATTCAAACAGTTCTCACAAGGACTGATTCTGCTTCCAAGGAGATATTTAACATTCTTGACTGTCACAACTCGGGGAAAGGGAGTACTTGCTGCTGATATCTAGTAGGTAATAAAGGCCAGAAATGGGGATACACATCCCACAATTCACACAGGACAGTCTACCAAAACAAAGAGTATCAACAGTCCTGAGTTTGAGAAATTCTACCACATACTTTGTTTTCTCATATGGCATTTATATTCTATTTACAAGCCTTTCTCCTCCATTAGACCAAGAATCTTTAAAAGCAAAAACATTCATGTTACTTGAAAACTTAAGAACTATGACCAAAACTATCACTGCATGGGGTTCTACATAAGTAGACTACAATGTCTTATTTTACAAATAAAAAAACATATGAACACAATAAATTGCTGTAAAACATGTACATTCCATAATTTTTTTAAAAGATTTCTTATTGAAATGATTACAGAGACAGATCTTCCATCAACTGGTTCATTCCCCAAATGGCTGTAAGAGCTGGGGCAGGCCCAGGCCAAAGGCCAACAGCCCTGAACTCCATCTGGGTCTCCAACATCAGTAACAGAGGTCCAAGAATGTGAGCCACCTTCCACTGCCTTACCAGGTTCATTAGCAAGGAGTTGGGTTTGAAGCAGAGAAGCCGGGACTTGAAATGGTGCCTATATGGGATGCAGTTTGTACAGGTGGCAGCCTAACCGGCTGAACCACAATACCACCCTCTCCCTAGATTCTTACAACTGAGTACCAAATAGCCATTTTTAATGAGATATCAAAGGCTTTCAATTTGATCATCTTGTCTGTAACTCTACCAGTTAACAAAACTTATTAAATATCAGAAAAATATAGGAATTAATATGAAGGGTAAAAAAAGGAGAATTACTTTAAGGGTGACTTTTTGTTTGCATTTTATTTCCAGTGTTCTAAGTACAAGGGCTATCCAGTGCTAAGAAAATACCTAACCAAAAATTTGTAGCAAAAACTGCAATTCTTAATTATACCAATACCATTGAGGACAACCAAGCTCCTTAAAAGAAATCTCAAAGGGAAAGGTAAAACAGAGAACACAAAAATTCCATCAAAGCAACAATAATCAGATATATAGGGAGTGGTCTATCTGTAACATGGAAAAACTTCCATTACCCATCAACATTAACAACACTGCTTCAAAAGTAATGACCATTGCATTATCTATATAGAAAACCATTCATTTCTTTCCTTCCAACCCATCATCACTGGCCCTGCCAATCACATTAATCAAAGCAGAACAGAGAGGGTGTGAAGAATGAATATTGTCTCTGAACAATAAAAATAATACAAATATTCAGTGGGATTTGTAAAACACTGTTAACTCTCCACTCTTTTTCAATGAAAAACAAACTTGAAACAATTATAGGTAACAGAAAGTAAACTGGTTTTCTAATAAAAAAATAAATCATTAAAGAAAAATAAGGAGACTCTACCAACATTCTGTCCAAATAAATCAAAAGTAATAACTAAACATTTCCTGAAGCTATACTCCATCTATGGATTAAGCATGCATTTTATTCATATTTAACAGCTTAACCTTACCACTCTAACAGAAGTCTAGTACCCTAAATTAAAAAAAAAAAAAATTCTAAGAACATGGTAGTAGGCTTAATTTCCACCTGCAGCACCAGCATCTCATATAGGCACCAGTTCATGTCCTGGCTGCTCCTCTTCTCATCCAGCTCTCTGCTTAAGGCCTGAGAAAGCAGTGGAAGATGGCCCAAGTGCTTGGACTCCTTCACCCATGTGGAAGATCCAGAAGAAACTTCCTGGCTCCCAGCTTCAGATCAGCCCAGTTTTAGCTGCTGCAGCCATTTGGGGAGTGAATCAGCAGATGGAAGACCTCGCTCTTTTTCTCTCCCTCTCTATCGGTAACACTCTCAAATAAAGTAAAAGAAAAAAGAAAAAGAAGGGACATACAAAAACAAATCGGATCCTTAACTAATGTGTTGTGGCTAAGTGTGTTTAGTCACCACTTGCGACACTGGCATCCCATATCCAAGTAGATAGTCCGAGCTCCAGATGCTCCACTTCTGTTCTAGCTTCCTATTATTGTACCTGGGAAGGCAGCAGAAGATGGCTAAATACTTGGGCTCTAGTGGTGTTCCTGGCTCTTGGCTTCAGCCTGGCCTAGACCTGGCTGGATTTTGAAGCTATCTGGGCAGTGAACCAGCAGATAGAAAATGTTTGTTGCTCTGCCTTTCAAATACATAAATATAGATAAATCTTTAAAGGTTCTAATTCAACACTTAAAATTCTCTCCAACATTATTATTTGAGGACATTAATGACAATACAAAAAATGAACAAAAAAAGTGAGGTCTGGGCGGATGGGCCTGTGATATTATGGAGGCTCCAGTAATCTAACTTTTAGAATCTGTACCACAGTGAAGCAACCAAATATAAATATAAATTCTGATCATGTTGGAAATTCATATTTACTAAATAAAAAAATATATAAAAAATAAATTGGAAATTTATATTTACTAAATAAAAAAAATAATAAATAAAAAATTCTGTTCATCAGCCAATATTTAACACCAATCAAAATAGGAGTTGTATAGTCTGGAGCATTCGACCTGTCTAGACCCATAATTTTAATTTATTTATTTACTTGAAAGTTGGAGTTACACAGAGAGGAGAGGCAGAGAGAGATGTCTTCCATCTGCTGGTTCACTCCCCAGTTGACCACAACATATGGAGCTAGACCAATTTGAAGCCAGGAGCTTCCTCCGGGTCTCCCACATGGGGGCAGGGCCCAAGCACTTGGGCCATCCTCCACTGCTTTCCCGAGCCACAAAAGAGAGCTGGATCAGAACTGGAGCAGCCAGGACTCGAACCAGCACCCATACGGGATGCCAGCACTGCAAGCGGCAGCTTTACCCACTGCACCACAGTGCTGACCCCAAGACCCAGAATTTTAAGTGTTACTTCACTTCCTCATA